CGGCTTGGTGGTGAGCTGCAGGGGCTGATCTGGGAAGGCCTCCTTGGTCGGGGAGAGCTTTCGGGAGCTGCTGTCCTGGGGATGCGGGTCCCCCGGGCCCGGCGCCTCCTCCTCTCTCCTCTTGCAGGGCGTGTCAGTCTTCTTCTCCTCGGAGCCGCCAGTGGCCTTTTTAAAAGTCCTATCGGCTGGGGGGTGGCGCTCCTCCGGGGCACGCTTCTTGTGGCTGGGGGAGCGCGCCTCTCCCTCCGCCGCCTCGCCCGACTTGATCTTCACCGCCTGCATGCCGTTCTCCATGTACTTGCTCATCACGATTACGATGCGTCCGTTCTTATTCTTGTTCTTGACGATCTTCATCTTGCCCCCAATACCATTGCCTGCCACCGCCTCTTTGGGGGCTGGTGTCATTCCGTTGGGGGGGCCCTTCTCAGAGCCCTTGCCTGGAGCCCCAGTCGCCCCAGCCAGAGGCTTCACGGCCCCCAGGTAGCCCTTGGCCCCTGTGCCATGGGCCCATTTGTCCGGTGGGTGGCTCTTGGCGCCCAGGTCCGGGCAGGTGGGGCTGGGTGCCTCCTTGTGGCCACCCTGGTACTGCAGGTCATACATCTTGGGGTCCGGCTGGTAGGGGTGGTGTTTCTTGCTGTTCAGCTGATAGTAGTACTTGCCACTCTTGCCTGGTGGGGGGGGCTTACCTGCTCTCTCCTTGCTATGCGGCTGGTACTGGTGGTGCTTCTTGCTGTTGAGCTCATACTGGTGGCCCTGGCCCTTGCCCTGTGTGCCCAGCTCTAGCTTGGAGCGGTTATCAGCTGAAGAGTCTTGGAGTCCAGTCAGAACATTGGAGCGACGGGCAAAGGTAGGTACCTGAGAGGGAGTGGAATGAGGGAGATGCTGGACCCCACCATGCTCGGGGAGCACGGGCAATGCCCAACCCCAGGGGTCTGCAGGGTTGGGGGAACAGGGGAATTGGGAGGGGCTTGAGGGGATGGGGGGCAGCCATGAGTATTCACCTGCACCACCAGTGGCTTGGGCTTCGGCCCTCTCTTACGGTAACCCATCAGCTGCTCCTGCCGTTCCCTGGGGAGGGAACAGAGGGCAACATGGTTAGCCTAGGGGTCACTTCCCCAAACTTCAACAATGCCCCACCTCCGGTTTAAGGCAGTGGCCAGCAGTATGTGGGGTGGGGGGTGAAGAGGCAGAGGCAGCTGCACCCCTCTTTAAGCTGGCACCAGAGCTCATCTACCAAGGGTCTTCTGCGAAGGGCTCCCCACCTCTGATTCATCTATATCACCACAGCAGTCGGCCTGCGCCGGGAGGCAGAAGGGCGGCCTCACCACGCCCCACTGGGCAGGTACCTCTGAGTAGTGGGCACCGGGTCCAGGGAGAAGGGGCAGCCCAAACTGGGTGAGCCCTGACCTCGTCCCTCCCCATCAGAAGCACAGGATGCTAACGACCTCATTAAGATTCAGATAAGGAGAGAAGGCAGGCTGGAGAGAGAACTGGTTTCCTTAAAGGCAAGGCACTAAACAGGGGGAAGGGCTGCATCCTTATTTACACTGCAGCAAATGAGCCAATTAGGGGCTGGGGGTGGGGGCCGCCCTAGGGCCAGAGTCTGGCCAGGTTCTCAGCCACCTGGTGAACCCGCCCCCTGCACAGCACCGCCCAGGCTGAGCCAGTGGGCGGGACGGGGGCAGCGCAGAGAAGCAATGCCAGCTCGTTGGAGCGGGTTCCTAATTATTAATAAAGCCATGGGTGGGGGCACCAGGTCACTACAGCCGCCAGGGTTAGCCAAAGGGTGACCCACCTGAGGGTGACTGTCTCAGGCACTGCCTACTCCTCCATAGGAGAAGGAAGTAACCGTCCGCAGTGCCAAAGCGGCAGCACATTCCCAGGCCAGAGACTCACCCTCTAGCAACCCTAGACACCCCCCACACTGCCCCTACACTAATGCCGGGAGTCCCACCATGCCCTGGGGCCCGGGCAGGGGACTGACTCCAAAGTTGCATGGAATTGCAACAGCCTGCGTTTTAATTCTTTGGGGACCCATTATGCAACATGGCATCAGCCGCTGACATGGTTACAGGGTGTTGAACTCCCAGGTGGAGTTGGGGCAGGATCCCTGACAGACGCCCCCCTGTGCCGCAGGAGAGCAACTTCCCTGCCAGTCACTAGTTCTGTGGGTCTAGTTTAGTTTTAGCGCCAAATGTGCCACAGGAAATAATGCAAAATGAAAGGGGAGGAGGAATGGAAGGCTGTGGGGTGGCCAACTCTGAGGGCTGCTGCTGCTGCTGCTCCTCCCCTCCATGCCCTGCCCCCTTCACCCACTCCCAAACAGAACCACAGCCACCAGCGGTGAATCCAGCTGCAGCGTGATAAGCATCTGTGCCCAAGAGGATGAGCACCCACCCAAGAAGCCACCCTTCCACCACCAGGCAGCACCCAGCCCACACCTTTACCCACCACAGAACTTAGTAGGGTCATGAAGGGCAAAGGACTGTAGACAGCCTCTATGCCCTGTCATCCCCAGCTCCCTAGAGGGGGTGAGATGGGGGCTTAAGGCCTTGCCAACTCTTCTCCAGCCATCAACAGGTTAAGTTCAGTTCCATGACGTCTGGGTGGTTTCACAATGCCAGCTCCTTTGGAGCTGCCCTGCAAGGTGCTGGTGCCAAGCGGCCAGGGGCTGCAGGAAAGCAACACCTAGGCTCTGAGGGCCGGGACACAGGAGGAGTACAGGCAAAGCCTCGACCTTTCCAGGGCAGCTGCAGGGCCCCCCAGACACTCTTCCCACATTTTCCCCAAAACACAAGCCCTGTCTTCCCGGGCCCTGCCCCCACTCCCAAGCTACAGTAACCGCCAAGGACACTGGTTAGAGGCTGCAGCCTGGCCCAGCCACCACCACCCCCCTGCCGAGGCCCCACTCTGTGGGGTTGTTTCCTCTTGCCCCCTTTCCTGTCGCTAGGCTCCCCACTTTCCATTCCCAGATACAGTCACGGAGCGGGCAGTGCTGCAGGGGTTCGCTCACCTGTTCTGGAAGGCGATCAGCAGCCTGGGATCCAGGATGTTCTCCTCCGGTTCCCACGTGTTATATCTTGCAAAGGAAAAGGGAGGGGGACATGGGTAAAAAAAAAAAAAAAAACCGAGCCAGCTCTGCGGCCTCCAGGTGGGGAATGACATAAGGCCCTATTCTGTCTTCGTGAACCGAAAGTCATTTAGCTGTGGACGTGGAGGGTGCATTTCTGCAGGCCTGACACAGTCCCTGATACACTGCCTCCCCCAAGTCAAAATAAACACACAAGGGCAGGAAGAAAGAGGAGGGGTAAGGAAAATGAAACTAGCAGTTTATTTTGCAGTTGTCAAGAATTTTAAGCATGTTACTGCGACATGTTCCAAAGACACTATGCTCACAAGGAACCCTGCGTGCAAAGCAGCCGAAATGCAGAGTCGCGGTACCCCTCCTCCTCTCCCCAGCCCGGAGTCTCTGAGAGGTTTCAGCCGTTCTGCATTTGACCCCTAATCCGATAGCCAACAGCCCCGCGGCCCCCCTACACTCCCTCGACGCCCAGGAGCCCGCTGTCACGAGCAGGCAACCCCCAAATACTCGGCAACACAAAAATATGCCTCTCTCTGTGTGTGTGAGTGTGTGTGTGTGCGTGTGCCTGCGCGTGTCTCCATCCGGTGCCTTCGCATTTCAAATTAAAGAAAAAAATTCCCCACCAAAAGCGCCGCAGTGACAGTTCCCAACATTTTCTGCCTTTTTTCGTCCCCTCTCTGCACCACTAGGAGGGAGAAGGCACACAATTGCATTTTCGTCGCTTTTTAATTTTTTTTTTTTTTTTGGTTTTGCAATATGGAGCCGTTCGGTGGAGGGAAAGGGGAAAGGAGCCATTTTCTGCTGCACATCAGTCAGTGCCTGCGCCCTCCCTCCCTCCGCCGGCCTCCCCGGCTCGGCCCCGCGTCTCTCCAGCTCCTCCGGCTCCTTTTAGTGCATAAATTAGTGATGGCATTTCCCGGAGAGCGGAGCACAACACAGGGCGCCGGGCTCGGGCTCGGGCTCCGCGGCTCGGCTTCCCAGTGCCTGCCACCGACTTCCCCACCCCCTC